AGTCCATTTCTGCCCCGAGAAGCCCTGCAGCATCTCCATCCCAAACGGCTTTGATGGGATCTCAACATGACCAACAAACTCAGCACCACGGGTCATCATTACCTCAAATCCTGGGTTTAAAATCAGACATGAAGACAAATTCATAGGTTTTTGCAAGTATCCATCTGCTACTCACACCTTCATTCTCATTGGTGCAAATATGACCAAATTTCTCACGTCACTGCATGTTTTAACAGCTTTTAGGAATAATTTATCTTTCACTTGCTTACCACTGGAAAAACCAAACAGCACTTTAACACTCAAGAGTAATTACGCTGACCAGGCATAACTTAGTGGCCACCTGTCATAAATGCAATCTGAAATGTGACAGAACTATTACTTCTCACACTTAGGTTTCACAGTTCACCATTGCCTGTGGATTTATTCAACCAATTTTTTGGTCCATAAAGTCTGTGGAATAAAATAACATTGTATACAATATACTACAGTTATATGAAAAGATGAAAGTGCTCTACTGTTCTAAGCGAATATGAAATATGTTTGTCTTTTCAAATAAATTGGAAATGAGATTTATGACTACTTTATATTTATATTTTGTCCAACATCCAAACAGTGTGTTAGTAACTCAGCATATTACCTGAATGGGACAAATCCTCTCAAGCTTTTATCAGTCAGGTCAATGTAGTGTAATTTTAGAGCTAATTTAAAGGCAACACTTTCAATAAGCTATCACAACTTATGTATTGCAGTTATAAATAAACGCCTGGTTGCCCTTTTACACATGTTGAAGATATATGTGATCCATGTGTATTGGATGAGGCACAGAGCAGCCCTACAGGAGCCCAGCTGTTCAGGAGACCCCGAGAAGAACTGAGGGTCAAAAAGTCCAGCACCTCGAGGAGCAAAACAAACTCTGTTTATGCTATTAAGGCGGCCAAGTTTATAAGCCAAGATCTGAAATATTCCATTCCATCCCATTCCATTTTCTTCCGCTTATCCGGAGCCGGGTCGCGGAGGCAGCAGTCTAAGCAGGGACTCCCAGACCTCCCTTTCCACACACACTTCCTCCAGCTCTTCTGGGGGGACCCCAAGGCGTTCCCAGGCCAGCCGAGAAACATAGTCCCTCCAGCGTGTCCTGGGTCTTCCCCGGGGCCTCCTCCCAGTGGGACATGCCCAGAACACCTCCCGAGGGAGGCGTCCAGGAGGCATCCGGAAAAGATGCCCGAGCCACCTCAACTGGCTCCTCTCGACGTGGAGGAGCAGCGGCTCTACTCCGAGCTCCTCCCGTGTGACTGAGCTCCTCACCCTATCTCTAAGGGAGCGCCCAGCCACCCTGCGGAGGAAACTCATTTCGGCCGCTTGTATCCGCGATCTTGTCCTTTCGGTCATTACCCAGAGCTCATGACCATAGGTGAGGGTGGGAACGAAGACTGACCGGTAAATCAAGAGTTTTGCCTTTCGGCTCAGCTCTCTCTTCACCACAATGGTCCTATACAGCGACCGCATCACTGCTGAAGCTGCACCGATCCGCCTGTCAATCTCACGCTCCATCCTCCCCTCACTCGTGAACAAGACCCCGAGATACTTGAACTCCTCCACTTGGGGCAGGGCAAGCCACCTTTTTCCGGTCGAGAACCATGGCCTCGGATTTGGAGGAGCTGATCTTCATCCCAGCCGCTTCACACTCGGCTGCAAACCGCCCCAGTGCACATTGCAGGTCCTGGTTCGATGAAGCCAACAGGACAACATCATCTGCAAACAGCAGAGAGATGAGATCCTGTGGTCCCCAAACCGGACCCCCTCCGGCCCCTGACTGCACCTAGAAATTCTGTCCATAAAAACAATGAACAGAACCGGTGACAAAGGGCAGCCCTGGCGGAGTCCAACATGCACCGGGAACAGGTCTGACTTACTGCCGGCAATGCGAACACAGCTCCTGCTCCGGTCATACAGGGACCGGAAAGCCCTTAGCAAAGGGCCCCGAACTCCATACTCCCGGAGCACCCCCCACAGGACACCACGAGGGACACGGTCGAATGCCTTCTCCAAGTCCACAAAGCACATGTGGACTGGTTGGGCAAACTCCCATGAACCCTCGAGCACCCGATGGAGAGTGTAGAGCTGGTCCAGTGTTCCACGGCCAGGACGAACCACACTGCTCCTCCTGAATCCGAGGTTCGACTATCGGGCGGATTCTCCTCTCCAGTACCCTGGCATAGACCTTACCGGGAAGGCTGAGAAGTGTGATCCCCCTATAGTTGGAACACACCCTCCGGTCCCCCTTCTTATACAGAGGGACCACCACCCCGGTTTGCCAGTCCAGAGGTACTGTCCCCGACCGCCACGCGATGTTGAAGAGGCGTGTCAGCCAAGACAGCCCCACAACATCCAGAGACTTCAGGTACTCAGGGCGGATCTCATCCAACCCCGGAGCCTTGCCACCAAGGAGCTTGCCGACCACCTCAGTGACTTCAGCCAGGGTGATGGACGAGTCCGCCTCTGGGTCCCCAGTCTCTGCTTCCTCCTCGGAAGACGTGACGGTGGGATTGAGGAGATCCTCAAATTATTCCTTCCACCGTCCGACTACATCCCCAGTCGAGGTCAACAGCTCTCCCCCCGCACTGTAAACAGTGTTGGTGAAGAACTGCTTCCCCCTCCTGAGGCGCCGGACGGTTTGCCAGAATCTCTTTGAGGCCGTCCGATAGTCCTCCTCCATGGCCTCTCCGAACTCCTCCCAGCTCCGAGTTTTTGCCTCTGTGACCGCACGAGCTGCCTCACGCTTGGCCCGTCGGTACCCATCAGCTGCCTCAGGAGTCCCACGAGCCAACAAGACCCGATAGGACTCCTTCTTCAGCTTGACGGCATCCCTTACTTCCGGTGTCCACCACCGGGTTCGGGGATTGCCGCCGCGACAGGCACCACAGACCTTACGCCCACAGCTACGGGCGGCCGCATTGACAATGGAGGTGGAGAACAGAGCCCACTCGGACTCCATATCTCCAACCTCCCCCGGGATCTGGGAGAAGCTCTCCCGGAGGTGTGAGTTGAAGATCCCTCTGACAGAGGGTTCCGCCAGACGTTCCCAACAGACCCTCACGACACGCTTGGGTCTGCCAGGTCTTTCCGGCTTCCTCCACCGCCAGCGGATCCAACTCACCACCAGGTGGTGATCGATCGGTTGACAGCTCAGCCCCTCTCTTCACCCGAGTGTCCAAGACACGCGGCCGGAGGTCAGATGACACGACGACAAAGTCGATCATCGACCTCCGGCCTAGGGTGTCCTGGTGCCACGTGCACTTATGGACACCCTTGTGCTCGAACATGGTGTTTGTTATGGACAAACTGTGACTAGCACAGAAGTCCAATAACAGAACACCACTCGGGTTCAGATCAGGGAGGCCGTTCCTCCCAATCACCCCTCTCCAGATGTCACTGGCGTTGCCCACGTGGGCGTTGAAGTCCCCCAGTAGAACAACGGAGTCCCCAGTTGGTGCACTGTCTAGTACCCCTCCCAGGGACTCCAAGAAGGCCGGGTACTCTGCACTGCTGTTCGGCCCGTAGGCCGACACCACAGTGAGATACCTGTCCCCGACCCGAAGGCGCAGGGACGCGACCCTCTCCAACACGTGGCGGCTGAGCTGTGGGGCTATAGGCAAGCCCACATCAGCTCGCCGCCGCTCCCCGCAGGCAACACCAGAAAAATGGAGGGTCCAACCCCTCTCGAGAGGTTGGGTACCAGAGCCCAAGCTGTGCGTGGAGGTGAGGCCGACTATATCTAGCCGGTACCTCTCAACCTCCCGCACAAGCTCAGGCTCCTTCCCCCCCAGTGAGGTGACGTTCCACGTCCCTACAGCCAGGTTCTGTGTCCGTGGACTAGGTTGCCGGGATCCCTGACCCCGACCTCTGCCTAGTTCACAGCGCACCCGACCCCTATGAAACCCTCTGCGGGTGGTGAGCCCACAGGAGGGCGGGCCCACGTCGTCCCTTCGGGCTGAGCCCGGCCGGGCCCCGTGGGCAAAGGCCCGGCCACCAGGCGCTCGCTTTCGAGCCCCAACCCCAGGCCTGGCTCCAGGGTGGGGCCCCGGCTGCGCCATACCGGGCGACGTCACGGTCCTTGTTTTTAAACTATTCATTGAGGTTCTATGAACTGCTCTTAGTCTGCCCCGTCACCTAGGACCTGTTTGCCATGGGACACCCTACCAGGGGCATAATGCCCCGGGCAACATAGCTCCTAGGATCATTCGGGTACGCAAACTCCCCCACCACGATAAGGTGGCAGGTCAAGGGGGAGCATCTGAAATATTAATAAATATTAATAAGGACAAACAAAGAGCAAAAGATCTGAAAATGTGGCAGCAGATCAAGTAAATGGTTTGGTGGAGACTGGCATGAGACTTCTCTAAAAGAAGAAATCAAAAACATATTTAATTAAAAATATAACCTATTTATTTAATGTATGGACAATAGTGTGTAAGTGTAGACACAGAGCGTAACCAGAATCAGTGTTCTGTTGGTTAGCTAACCTGTTCCTACACTCTAACTTTAATCAAATTAACCTTAACAGGACAAAAATTGTGCTAGCATATCCATCATTGCAAAGTGGCACTTATGTGGCATAACTTGGTAGGGAAAAATGAGGCTATCCAGCCAGACAGATACTGTTTAATTCTGATTCCATTAACTTGCGAAACCTTGTTAATATTGATATATTCAAACGTAAATAAGAGGCCACGATGCCCAAAGCAAAAGATAAAAACACATTGATTAGTAATGCAGCACAATCCAATGGATCAGAAGAGCTTAAAATCCCTTATAGTTGGAAATGAAAGAGGATAACAACATTCAAAGAACTCAAAGCATTTCAACATCTAAAATCTTATCTTACTTCACTGAAAACTGCAATGAAAATACTGACAGCAAGTAGTACATGTTTTGCATCTGTACTACATTTTACGACTACATCTAGCCCTCAGTCACTGGACATCAGATGAGTGACTTACTCTGTGTGAAGCGTGGGGGGCTGTCGTTGACGTCGGTGAGCTTCACAGTGACAGTAGTGGTCCCTGAGAGACCCCCCAGGTGCCCCCCCATGTCTTTGGCCTGTAGCACCACCAAGTATGTGTCCTGCCTCTCCCGGTCCATGTCCGGAACTGCAGTCCTCAAAATACCTACAAAACACAAACACAGTATTAGAATATCAAGCAGTAAAAGTCTGTTCTCTCACAGTTAAAAATTGCACCCAATGACATTATATATCTGCAGGAGGCTAAAAGGTATTTTTGATCAATATTTATGACTTAGTGATTACCACGCACCGTAGCCTCTGGCATACACAATACACTGTCTGGCCTGTGCTGCTGTTTGGAACAAAAACGGCTCGGGCACTGGGATCAGAGCCAGACCGCTTCACAAAATAGCACAAAGCCATATCATATACAAAGTACAAGAAAGGTTCAGATGAGGCCATGATAAAGATGCCACCTTTTTGCACCGATAAGGCAATATACGTTGATGAAGTTAGACTCTTTAAAGGGCCCATATCACGCAATTTTCTGATCTATGTTATAATGCTGTTTGCTCATCCAAAACACACCTGGAGTTGTGCTTTGTTTCATTTCACATGTTTAACACACAAACCCTGCATATTTAGGCTGAGTTCTACTCCCAAACAGAAAACACTCTACTCCATACAATCCATACACCGTCACTAGAATCATCTGGATAATAGCAGTCCTGGAATCTCTACAGAAAAAAAGGTAAAATGTAGCTGTTAACTTGAAAACTACATCATGACATCACAATGTGGAACAGAGCATGTGAAAATTAAACAAAGCACAACTCCAGGTATGTTTTGGAAGTGGTAACAGCAATATTCCATGGCTCAAAGCTCACATTAAATCTTTAAGATGGAGGAGGTCTAACAACAACATTCATGAATTTGACAAAGACTAAACTATAACAGAAGTAAGCAGTTTGGTTCCTTTTACAACTTCATTTCCTTAAGTTTTAAAACCAGTTCTTATGAAGCAGTGCGTTGTTCTTTTTAAAGACGGGGTTACGTAGTGTTTGAGTCTGTTTTGAAAGATAGGGCTCTCATATGACCCTTTATGGCTTTGGAAACTCTTTTCACAAATGTATTGGACATTGTCAAAGGCAGCTGTCAGACTGCACTGGACATGACGGCTGGGAGTGACAGCTCACTGACATTTGTGACTCACTCAGTCTGATGGTGACAGAACATAACTCACTGCAGCACAGACAAACAGACACTCAAAAACACTATATACTGTTTTAACATACTGAGTTTAGCATGGGAATATGTTATAGTTAGATTAGGGGTGGGCGATATGCCAAAAAATTAATTAAATTTAAAAAATTTCTTCGAGCCAGATCCCAGTTTCGATATTATCCTAATTATCTTTTCTTTTAGTGTTTAAGAGGTAAATAAAGCTATCTGCTGTTTCTGTACATTTACTCTTACACTGTGACTGATTATATCCAGGTGTCACTCACTCAGAGCATGATGGGAGTTTGACCAATAGGAGTAGGTGGAGGAGGAAGGAAAGACAACAAAAAACAAAAGAAAACAGAGAACCACAATATGGTGAATTAATCATTATAACATATGGTCACAGAGACAAGATCATAATTTGATTTTTATTGTCATATTTCCCAGCCCTAAGGTGGATTACATACAGATTGTGATAATGTCAGTAAAAGTCAGTAACAGCATTTCCTAATGAACCGATTAACTTACATGTACATTTCATTCTATATTGCATTTGTTGGTTTGGATTAAATGCTTGTTTACTGAATACTGATACAGGTTTGATGCAATTTTAAAGGTGCACTATATGAAGATAAGTTATCTTAACTTCAGGAGCAGGACCACACTCTCTCTTCCTTCTCTGTTTTGTCGTTTACAAGCCCTTCCAACCCTACCCTCTCTTCTATGTCTTATTCCTTCTGGTTTTCAGCTATGTGAGGGTTTTCAAAGCTCAAGAGCTCACTGCCCTGAGCGCATAGCCTTTGAATATCAGCTTGTCTTGTCTTCACCTTCATATTCGAAGGTTGTGGTGTAGTCACTCTTCTGGAGGACTGTTCCCCTGCATTTAATCATTTGCAGGTGTTTTTCAGGATAAACACATGCAGGCTTATCTCTCCACAGATCTGAGCTGTAACTTGGCCTGTGTCCATGGAAGCTTAATACCATACTGTGAAACTCTCAAGACAAAGCAATAACATCTCCGTGGAGACAAACAGATGATGCACCATTAAGGAAATAAATATTTTGACAAGAAAAAGTGTCATATTTCCCAGTACCTTTTTAACTTACACACAAAGTATAAGTTTTGAAGAAACCATACATTTTTCATCTATAAAGTAATCATATGCTGGAAGTCATGATACTCATGTTTGAATCAATAAAATGTACAGGAAGCATGCCTCCATTAAACTAAAAGGTAGGAAATGGGCTTATTCCATATTCTGTATTATGTGTCATTGGAGAATATGGGAGGAACAAATCAGCACGAGATGTGCTGACAGCGCATAAAATGCTCTCGTATATCTCTGACATTTTAACAACACTTAAATGCATCGCTTAAACTCGTCCAACATTGATCACTCTCTCTATTGCAAATGACCTGATTCGATTACGTCACATACCAGCACACAAGCCTTGGGTGACTTGCCAAATCAAGGTGTTCCATTTTTATACAAGCCTTTTTACAGTATAATCAGTACTAATGAATCATTCAAGATGCTGTGACGTTTTGCTATTACCAAAGAAAGCTTTAGCAACGATTTTACAGATAAAATTTGGGATGTTTATAACCTTCGTTTAAAAAAGGAATTAATAACTAACTAAAACCTTGGCACAGTACTGTATAATATAATGTCCCCAATTACGAACATTTTAAAAAATATTAAGAGAAAGACGAGAATGACTGAAATTCTATATTATATTTTCTATTTTGCATTTCATCCTTAAGACAGCAATCTCCAGCACACGTCAGAGGAATCAATTATCAAACATTGACATTCACCAGGCACAGCACATGTATCGCCTCTCTAACCCTGGTGGGTGAATCCGAATCACTTTCGCCCACACGGAGAATAAAACACCCTTTAGCGGATTCACCAAATGCTAGTGTCAGTCTAACTGCACCAGACATCTACAGATCAATTCAGATGTGATTGCCCTCAAAGGTATAATCCTCAAGATCGTAATATATTTGAGAATAAAAATGAGTAAAGGAAGTTGATCTTTCATTCAGTGTTCTAGGCCTTGGGAAGTAATATCCATAACACAGGAATCTGCAGTCCCTTTGTGTCTTCTGTAATCGGCTCGGTGTAATATAGGCCACAAAACTGCGCTGACATCTCTCTTTGAACACAAGTCTTTTGGTTTTCAACTTCACCAGAAATAATAATATTAGGCTGCTGGGGCTGTGTCTGTGTTTTTTATTCATTCCTCTTCTTTTTAGTAGCGTGGCGTACAGTGCGCTGGCAGCATGAATACATTTGTGCCAGCTCGTAGTGGAATGAACCAGACCAGGGGAAACAAGTGCTGTCAACTTTGCAGGGTGGGAGACACTGCATTTTATAATTAAACTCGTCGTTTGCATGTTAATCCACATTGGGATTAAATTTTTAATGAAAACTCAACACGTTTTGAACATAAAAAGGCTATTACTATGAAATGAACATGGACAAGCAGTGTAAGATTTAGCTCTGTTTTGAATGACAACATTTAATCAAACTGCAATTATGTGCTAACATGTTTGATAGTGATTGTGATATATTAGTATATTCAGTGTTTATATCCAATGCAAGATACAGTCAGTATGAAATAATGAATTAAGTCTTTGTGGTCCGTTAACCTCTCAACAAGTAGAGTTCAGGGAAGCCTACTATATCATGATCAAACATTGCAAAATAGGGTAATGCACAAGATCCAATGCAGTAGGTTTTTCTCTAAATGAATAAAGTTATAGTCTCCATTTATTTGAAAAGGGTAGTGAAAGATGGACTATTGAGCATACTCATATTGAGGGCATCTTGACACTATTATCAATTTTAAATGGTTAAAGTAACAACGTTTGGCCTTTCCAAACCTGCACCTATTAAAAAGTCTCTACAATCTGCTGCAATGCTCCTGTGACTGCCATGTGTCAATAGATGTCTTCTATTTATAAATGTGTGGAGAGCTGTGCACTGACCCTGCCACTCTGGTATTGTGCGATCTCTCACCAGGCAGGTGCACCATTATGAAAGATAGTTTTTCCTCCAGCCAAGAGGACATGCTTTTGTAGGCACTGGTGTCTTTGTATGTTAGAGAAACCATTTAAAAGTTATGATTAGATTTTAGAAAGGTCAGCAATAGCCCAAGGTGTTAAAGTTATTTTTTGGGATAGATCTAAAAAACGGTGTGGAGCAAAACAGGGTTATATGTCAATGTGAGATAAGTGTGTATGCCATCTGAAATTATTTTAAAAATAATTACTTGTGTGAACCAATATCAAACTGTGTTTGAGTCTTTTTCATATCGATTTGGCAGAAGTTTAAAACTATTTGGCCATTCTGATGTAGCCTTCCCCATGCATTCATCCAGGGAAGGGAACAACTGTACAACCCATTGGTTGTATCACACCTTGATTATCATTCACATCTTATATAACTAATGGCATCACATAAAAATGTTTTATAGGGAACATCCACCTAGCACTCCCCATGTCTTGGATGTTTAGATTTTTACTGCATGCATGTTTGGTCCCCGAGATCTTGACCATGTTTGCTTTCAATCAGAGTGTGCATATTTGCATGTGGACATCTGCTCATCTTTAAACCTGTGCCAGTGGTAATCGCTGCCATCACACACACACACATACACACACACACTTTACCTGTCTGAGGATCCACTGAGAAGTACTGCTGGCCCTGCACCAGAGTGTACACCAGCTTGGCGCTGTTCCCATAAGTCGGGTCATCAGCATCTGTCGCTGTCACCTGGATTATAGACGTGCCTGTGGGGAGAGAGAGAGTTCAGGGTGAGACGAGAGAAGGAGAGAGAGAGAGAGAGAGAGAGCAGTATGGCTGTCGGTAAAAGAAAGAAAAAACACAAAATGGTAGAGATGCGAAATGCAAGAAACAAGAAATACTATATACAGTATGTTCCACAGTATGATGTTATTGTGAGGTGTGCAATAATTCTTGTAATTAAAGGGATATTTGTGTTCAGTTTTTTCAGGATTCTGAAACATTTGAGATAGAAGGTATTCAGTTCACTCCAAAAAGATTATTTCCATACCCCTCCACATCTCAGAACTAAAACAGGACTAGACCAACTAATGTGGATTAAGGAGCAGGCCTATGTTAACACTAAACTGGGCCCAAACAAAGACTAAACCATCAAAACATAATCCATCAAGATAGAAAGGTTGCAAAGCTAAAGAGCTAAATAGAAGTCTAAGTCTAGACACTGGGTTATTGCCAAATAAGAGCAGTACCTTTATACAGAGAGCAGTAAGGTTGCTACATTTGCATAGTTTTAAGTTGGCATATTGGTGGCACAAAAAATGGATATGGGCATTTTCTTTTGGAATGATAAATTTTAACACTTTTCTACCCCCTTGCCGGAATATCTGAAAAAAAAAAAATAAATCATAGGAATGATACTTTCAAGTTGTTTCTCCAAATCTTGAAGTATCTGCATTTGAAGGTAATGAGAAAGCTTTATATGAAGAAGACTAGCTCTGTCCCACTCCTTTTCCAATCTCCTTCCAGCGGTACTGTGACAAATACTTGATTTAAACCTGCTCTCTCTATTCCCACACTTCCACCTCTCCTCACTTCATTTCTCTTCATCTCTGTCTCCAATTCCCTTTGCTTCTCCATTGGACCGTCTGTCTTTTCAATACCCCCCACCAGCGCCCCTCCCAAATGTCTTCAAATTCCTCTACACCTCGTCAAGCTCCAATTTGCCTGAAATATTTGGGAAGTGTTGGCAGGTAAGGGAAAATAGATATGATAAACAGTAAACATGGTTCTTCATTGTGTATTCTCATATATCTTTTTAGACATAATGGAAGCAGAAGTCCTGTGTCAAGGGATATGAACTGTGTGTGAATCTATGGGGCAGAGAGTGACATGTTGTGATTGAATCAATAATAAGGATAAAGCAAGGCAAAAAAGTACAATACACTGTTGTAGAAAATATAGACGATAAACCATCATATTGAAACCACTGGCACAAAACAATACGGCAGATTTATTTCCAAAAACGACTCTAAATGCACAGCATAGTTAGTACAAAAATAGTAGTAATAGTAGTAATAGTAGTAATAGTACAAAAATACCAACTGCAATAAAATTGCAAAATTAATCACTTACTTAGTTTGTATCTAAAATGAGCCAAAGAAGTTATTCAACCTTCCACAGCTCAAATCTAGTCAAGTACAGAAAAATACCAAAAAGTTCTTCACTAGTACAAATTTGAGTAAAAATTTGTTTTGTATAGCTTTATTGTATAAGCGGCTCCGTTGGGGTGAAATAAGACCGCTGTCCGCTGTCTGCATCCAAAGCATTTCATCATAAGAGAACCAAGAAGTGCGCTGTTACCATGCTAATTACAATGACGACAAAACCCCAAAAGTTGTAAAACGTCCTCATAAACTCAACACAATAAATAAATTAAATGCTATGAATGTGTTAGGAAAGTGAGTGTTCTCAAAAACAATACAAAAATACTTAGCGTACAAGAATCATGATACAATTTAAAAGATGATGAAGGCTCTAAAGATCATGACATACATTTTTTTCCACATCTTCCACCCCTAGCACTAGCATGAGTCAGCACCCCAGTGTCGTGGATGGACAAAGGGACCCACCACTGCTACTTCGCGCAGTCAGTCAAGCGCTTCTTTTTTACCTTTTACCTCAACAATAGAAAGGATTGATGGCAAATTGGTGAGTAATTTTGATTAAGTTTTTAAAGTTTTTTAAGTTACTCAAATGAAATTATGCATATTAAAATTGAACTGTGAAATATGAATTGCCAAGTGATTATTCCATTGTCTACTGAAAAATTAATAATCAAATATGAGTCCCAAAAATAAGAGTCTTGACCTTGTAAAAAGAGTAAAAAAATAAACTACTTTTGAAGTGCTCTGAATAGAAATTAGAAGTAGCTGACAAAGCAGACTTCACTCTTTATTAATGGCCACTGCAACTTTACATAACTGTCATGAGTGTGTAAAGGTTATTTTGATTTCACTTTTGACAGTTTCCTGCCTGAAATGTTTATAATAGTGTATCTGGAACCATTTGTAACATGTGTTCAAACAATGGAAACACAAAGGGAAAACAGCTCTTGCAACTGCATAGTGACAGTGATTTGACAGAAAGCAGAAAGCTCATTGAAAAAAACAACAAAAGACATGTTTTAATTACAGAATAAAAGATTTCTGCTCACACTTGAGAAGTTCAATTAGAGGTGGCATTCACAGCTCCAAATGTGATTGACATTTACAAGCATGTGGAAGGTGTAATTATGTGTTGGAGTGTGTGCAGTTACACACAAGCCCACAAGCCACTATGCACACTGTAATTAATCAATTATATCAGACTAAACCAGGATGTGTCACCAATAGAGATTATTAACCAATTAAGATAACTGGTTACTTTAAAAGGTTACCTTTTGAACCACTGCTTCAAAAAAGAACAGCATCATCAATTATACAGATATTTTCTTGACATTTTCATGTAATGTAACTGCTCTTTTTAAAATGGAAGAACAAGCAAAAGCAAAAAGTGCATATTGTTTCAAATTTGTTATTGACCAAAGCTAAAGTAGGATACCATGGGAGATGTGATATGATATAAAATAACTATATCTGACAATATTAGCACACTACAAAGAGCATAAAGAAAAAAGATTAACTATTATTTGCACCATTTAACATCATGGCTTTAGGAAGTAAATTACAATTAGAATGTTATAAATATCATTTATTAGAGCTTATTAAAGAGCTTATTAAAATGGGAATAGAGGAAACGCATGTTATAAACTTACAGTCCTGTCACATTTGTGTGACAGCTGAACCTCAACTAAGACAATGAACACATTTCTGTTTAACATAATATCGTCTGAATATAAATTTTCCTATTTGGAAGACATGACAAAAAATAAATAAAAAATTGACACACTTTTTTAAACAAATCACATGACTATAGATCTGAACCTGCAGTTGCACTCATATAGATAAATATAATGCTTTTTGACAGCAGTGAAGACTAATAAGGACTGTGATGAAGATGCTTGTGTCTGGGGTTGATGCAACAAGTGCAAAGAGCTGGTAAAATATATTTGTATGCAGCCCGGCAGACATATACAAGCAAGCCCAATCCACAAAGATCAAAAAGTCACACAATAACGCACCCATCTGGAGCGCATGTTCTGACTCTGAGACGCCCGGGTGCTGGGGACCAAAGAATAACAATTGCTATGTAGTTTTTACATATCAGCTTTCAATATTTATGCTCAAGGTTAAACTCTGAATGTGAGTCAGTCTCCCTTAGCGGGGATACACATCTGGTGAGGTGTTTACATCCAGTCAGTAAAAACTAGGGCTGTTCAAAACAAGATGGGGGACTGGCAAGGCTCCAGCGCACCTCGCATTATGGTGTCATTGGTGCAGATTAGCCCTCCCCCTGTCACCTCATCCTTAAATGTATCATGTACAAAGCGCATAACACAGCACTAGCACATCGCATCCGTCACGCGTCCTGCTAAGCCTCGTAAATATTGAATTGCCAAAGTAAATATTGGATTCATGATTGACTGAACGACACAATCTGAGCATTGAGTGGCTCTCATGAAGAAGCTGATAGAATGACTAAGAAGTGCTGCTGTCACTCTGCACTCTGCCAGGGCCGTTCTATGGAAATACTGTACTAGTGCTACAGCCACAATTTACAGTATGATTTACCTACAAATTATGAACACACATTCAGATGTTTTTTTTGTTGACAAATCGCACAGGAAGTTCTTTAGTTTAAATGTATTGTCTTGTTGCAGCAGTGAGCTAAACTGTTATCTGCTTTATTTATTATTAAAGGTCCTATATTAAACCAAATTGACACTTGGGAGCTTTAAGCCATGTTAAAATACTGCTACCTCCTCAAAAACATACACATTCACATGCTAGAGCAGGGGTGTCCAACCTTTTTTTTATCCAGTGAGTCTTTACAAAACAAAAACATCAGAGAGCTACGCAGATACAGCAGTCGCAAGAAAGTGAGTAACTATAAAAGCCATGGCCTTAGATAGGAACAGTCAGAGGCCTATAAAACATACACCATTATCCATTTATTAGTGCAGAAAGTAAAGTTAGGCATGAAAAAGATACATTTACTAGGGGTGTAATGATATCAAAGTCTCACAATATGATATTGTCAGAGTATAAACCTCACAGTATGATATTTATTGCGATAATGTGGGAAAGCGATATGGTGGGGAGGCTCACAATTAGAGATGTAACAATATCCAAATCTCTCAGTATGATATTTCCCAATATACATCTCATGGTACGATATTTATTGCGAAATATTGTGGAGGCAAACAAAACTGTTAAGGAGCAAAGGATCATGGTCTATGTAGTTCCTTCTGTCTTTTTTGCACCATAACTATTCATTTAAGCAAAGAGACTTGTAGTTCGATATACTAACGATACGATATCACGATATTTCGGTAATTGTTACATCCCTAACATTTACAATTCTAATAGTCATTCTATTCATAAAATTTTACTTATTCAGCACAAAACTTATGATTCAAAAATTCTTTGGCAAGCTACTTGGAAAGAGGTGGAAAGCTGCTGGTAGCTCCCGAGCTACAGGTTGGAGACCCCTGTGCTAGAGTAATCCTGCATTATTAGTTTGTCTAGTTAATTAGATATCTCCAAAGCTCAAAACCTTCTGCGCTCTCTTAACAGATTTCACTTTTAGTTCAGTAGAGATTGGCAAT